CGATTCATCAGTGCACAGTATTTTAAGCTAAAAAGTGGACTGTAATGTTTAATCAAAGTCTAAACTTGTTTTTCCCATAAAACAACTTTCCATGTTGGCTAGAGTCACAAATCCATCTTACTCTCGTTAAATATTCTTTCACCGAGATGTAAAATGGGTTGTAAAGAGTGTTTCATATTGACTTTTTTTTTATTGATAATGCAAGCAATTTGGAATTTAATTTGCTTTTACTTTTTACTTTTAGTCATTTAGCAGATGCTTTTATCCAAAGCGACTTACAAATAAGAAAAAGTAATTAAAACTAAAAGCTAAAACTCTATAAATACTATATATATACACACATTTAAGAAAATAAAAGAAATTAAATAAAAATGACAAATGCATACAACAATATTTCAAAACTAAAACATTTAAATTAAATTAAAGTGATACATTTTCCAAGATGGTATACTGTGTTGCTTGCAGGTTTTCTTTGACCTCATGAGGGAAATTCGTGCTCGGAAGATGGAGGAGAGCAAGGAAAAGAACGGAAAGAAGAAGAGAAAAAGTCTGGCCAAACGAATCCGCGAAAGATGCTGCATTTTATAGTGTCTGCGATCATTTACTCTCCTCCTTCTGCATATGTACCTGTATGTTCTATATGTTTGCCAGCTAATCCTCCCCTCGATGTTTGCTGGTGTTTGTGTGTCAGATTAGATGAAGGACAGTCTGATAGAGTTGATGCAGTAGAGTCACATCAGTAATGTCCAAAAGCACAGGACGCTGCTGGACTTGCGTATGAAAACTTCCTGTGCAAGACATATGAGAGCTTTTTGATTTTATTTTGTGTCAGGTTTGTTTAATGAATTCTGTTCTCTTTTATTTAATTTTTTATGGCCACGTTTCTACCTGGATTTAACATCAGTGTCGGGTGATCTGATCTCAAATAGACGACACTAAATACAGCTGTTTTGTCAGATTTTTTTATGTTTTTCCAATGTTGAAAACAGTTGTGCTGCACAATATTTTTGTGGAAACTGATAGATTTTATTTTTCAGGATTCACAGATGAATAGAAAATTTAAAAGAACAGCATTTATTTGAAACTGAAATCTTTTGTAACGTTATAAATGTCTTTACTGTCACTTTTGATCAGGTTAATGCATCCTTGATGAACAAAATTATGAATTTCTTTAAAAAAAAAAAACTTACTGTATCTTACTAAATCAAGGGTTTTCATTTATATTTGGATCACCTGAAAAGGATGTTAATGCCGGTCTAAAATGAGCGTGTGAGTGTTATTACTTTAATGTTAAATGACTCCATTTACTTAAATTACATTCTTTTTAAATTACATACATAACTCTTCATTGACTTGAGGGGAAACTGAAAATACCTGAGTGCAGCTAAAAAAAAATGACAAGCTTTATTGTTAAAAACAAAAAAAACATGGTGTCAATTTATTTGTTGGTCTGTGGCTAAGCAATTAGTATAAATTTAAAAGAACAGCATTTATTTGAAACTGAAATCTTTTGTAACGTTATAAATGTCTTTACTGTCACTTTTGATCAGGTTAATGCATCCTTGATGAACAAAATTATGAATTTCTTTAAAAAAAAAAAACTTACTGTATCTTACTAAATCAAGGGTTTTCATTTATATTTGGATCACCTGAAAAGGATGTTAATGCCGGTCTAAAATGAGCGTGTGAGTGTTATTACTTTAATGTTAAATGACTCCATTTACTTAAATTACATTCTTTTTAAATTACGTACATAACTCTTCATTGACTTGAGGGGAAACTGAAAATACTTGAGCGGAGCTAAAAAAAAATGACAAGCTTTATTGTTAAAAACAAAAAAAACATGGTGTCAATTTATTTGTTGGTCTGTGGCTAAGCAGTTAGTAATTGTTATGCATAAAAAGTGCAGTACACTAACAAGCGATGAGATCTGTGTTACAGCAGTAACCAGGTACAGGTTTGTGTTTTAATCACTTAATATTCCAAGCAACGTGTCAGAAGCAGTGGGTGAAGGGGAGGTTGCTCTGGCTGCAGCGGTTTAGTGTGCT